TTTTTTTTTTTTTTTTTTAACACTGCAATTATTTCCATGTTTATTTTTTTATTTTTTTATTATTTTTTTATTTTTATGGCGATCGTAAAAAAGGGAACAGAATCCGTTTAGGTTTTGTAACATATTATCTTGCATTAATATATGGTAATCTTCTTAAAAAATGGAACAGAATCAGTTTAGGTTTTGTAACACTTGCAGTAAGACAAATAAAAGACATTCAGTTTGTATGTAGGGTTGGTATCGGTTCGATTACCGAACCGATAAGACCAAACCAATACCGTACCGATTATTTCGGTAACAACAAAATATGTACCGTTACCGAACCGATAGTTATCGGTTACCGAATTTTCGGTTACCGATAACTCGGTTCGGTAACGGTTTTTTACCAAAAAATCGAAATTTACCAATAAATATGCAACTTGACTAAGCTCGGTTCGGTAACGGTTTTTTACCGAAAAACCGAAATTTTACCAATAATAATGCAACTTGATTAAGTTCCAACATTCATCCACCATGTTCCAACATAATTAAATCCAGCATTCCAATAATAGCATTCCAAAATCCAACATTCATCCACCAATAATACCCAACATTCATCTACCAATAATACAACTTGCAAGAACAAACATCCACCATGTTCTAACATGATTCCAGTCCAACAATCCAACAAGAACAACATTACATAATTCAAAGTTCCAACATGATTAACAAAATAAAATAATCTAAAAACGCAACAACATCAAGTCCAATATCACCAATTGCGCCAAATTCCAATCCGCTACTCCTCCTACATAAGAAAAAAAAAAAAATTGCATTAAGAGAATAAAAATATTGTTATTATATTTTTAAAAGAAATAACACTAATTATAATACAATTAAACTACAAGAACCTCATCTATTAATTTGCTCAATGATGTAGCACCACGTCCACCGCGTCCACCACATCCACCACGGTTTGATCAATCGGGTGGATTTGTACTTTTAACTTGAGGTGGTGGCATTTCATTTATGTTGGGCATACCTATAAAATAATACAAATAAATCAATAACCAAAAAAATGATACATGAACAATATGAATACAAAAATATTAATAAAAGGTACTTACTTTGTTCCAATTGTTCGAGTTCCATGTAGACTCAAGTTCTTCTTCCGTAGGCTCCTTGTGAAATTGAAATTCTTCTCCTCTTAGCCAATCATTTGTGCAAACTAACGCCTCAACCATCCTAGGCGTCAAAGAAGCTCTAAACGGATCCACAATCCTTCCTCCAAGGCTAAAGGCATTTTCACTAGCTACGATGGAACTAGGGAAAGCAAGTACATCCTTAGCAACCTTGGAAAGAATAGAGTAACTTGAGATTTTACTTTTCCACCATCCCAATAAATCGAAATCCTCATTTCTTGTACTTTCATATGCATCATTAAAGTACTTGTCAACTTCATTAGCTATCTCTTTGAGTTTTGCTACCTTTCTTTGTCTATTAAGTCTCCGCTCTATCCTCAATTCCACATCATCATCATCACTACCATGATCAACATCATCATCGTTATCCTCATGCACATCCACATGTGACTTTTCCATGCTTGTTCCCTTATAAGTTTCATACATAAGATACAAGTGTGCTTTCACCCGACTCTTAATGTGATCAACTTCATTAAGAGTGTAGCCAATCTCCCCTAATTGCAACTCCATCAATTGAAACTTATATCGCGGATCAAGGGTTTGAGCTACAAACATTAAAATGTTCATCTCTTCGAAAGAGCCCCAATATTTATCAAACTTCCTCTTCATAGAAGTAGCCGCATTTTCCAACACAATATTTTTTCTATCTCTAATTTTAGACTCAATCTCAACCTTTAAGTTCATCAAGATTTTTAGAACAAGATGTGAGGTCGGAGTCTTAGTGGCACTAAGCTTGATGGTGGCATCATAGAATTTCTTGAGAAAATGAGCAAATCCCATAGCCTTTTCCCAATCTTCATCATTCGGAGGCCCCACTCTTCCCTCTTCAAAGTATGTCACAAATGGCCGAAATTCTTCCACCAACCTTGCAAACACACCTTTAAACTTGCAAGCACTATTAAGCATGGTGTATGTGGCATTCCACCGAGTCACAACATCCATCGGGATAGTTGACATTTTATCCTTCTTCTCTAAAACCGCAAACTCCCGAAACTTGTCCAACCTCGCACTAGAAGAGTGAATATACTTCACACAATTTTGAATGCCTTCAATGGACTCTACTAGCTCTTTCATTCCATCCTTCACAATCAAGTTAATTATGTGGAAAGCACACCTCATATGCAAGTTTTCATCAAGCATAAGACTATCATACTTCCGGAGTTGCTTCTTTAAATACTCCACGGCCACATCATTGGAACTCGCATTGTCCATGGTAATGGTAAACACCTTACTTATGCCCCATTCGACCAACTTCTCTTCAAGACACCTTCCTATATCATCACCCGTATGAGAAGTAATTTTACAAAAATTGAGCACCCTTTTATTTAAGTAGAAATTTGAGTCAATAAAATGGGCCGTCACCACCATGTAGTTTATTTTGGATAGAGGTCCAAGTGTCGGTTGTGATACTCACACGGAGATCACCAATGATGCTTTTGATCTTCGCTTTCTCTTCACAAAATAAGCTCCACACCTCCTTTGCAATCTTCCTCCGATTAGGAAGCTTATAACGAGGTTGAAGATCACGAATGAATTCTTTGAAGTCCGGTTGCTCTACGGTTCGAAAAGGCATCTCTGATTTGAAAATCCACTTCACACACATGTTGTAATATCCCGATATTTTATCGGTGTAAATTACGTTTTAGTTCCGATATAATAACGTTATCGATTATTATTGTCGGAACTAATTATTTTCAGTCGAGATTACCGAAATTTATTTTCGACGTACAGTTTACGTTCGGAATAATTTTGGTAATTAAGCATTATGTTTAATTAAATAATTAAACATAATTTAAAGGATTAATTAGTAATTAATCATTATTAGGGCTTAAAAAGCCGTA